TATTCATTAATACTCAATAATTTCGCTTTAGTGTATCTGTAGTCTCTCGTCGTAACTGTTGTTAATTATTATTTGTAATATCGTTAGTTTATTAGTTGTTTTTAGTCATTGTTGTCAATTCTAGTCTCTTTAGTTCTCTTGTTACCTTCAGTTGTATTTAGTTCTACCTAGTTGTATGTTGTAATAACTCGTCCAAACATGACCCGCCTAGATTAGCTCAGCTATCCGCGGGCATGTTATAATTGTAATTTTAATTTGATAACAAATAAAATGTATGTATGTATGTACGACGAGCATTACGCTGTTGAAGCCGTGCCAAGGTTCACAGAACGTCTGAAAACCGGAATGTGGTTTGGCTTCGCAGAAGTGGACATTGAAATCCCAAAAGATCTGTGCATGAAGTTTAAAGAAATACCGCCCTGCTTCTTCACCAAACAGATCCCCGAAGAAGCGGTGCCCTGACACATGAAAGATGACACCGCTCGCACCGGCAGAACAAGAGGCTACAGGAAAAAGCTGGTGGGAGCATTGTCAGCGCAAAAGCTGCTGCTGTATGCACCACTGTTGCGCTGGTATGTTGCACATGGGGCAGTCATCACAGCCGTGCACCACTTGATCATCTATCAGAAGACCGAAATCTTCCCCTGGTTCGTGGAGCAGGTGACCGAAGCCTGCTGGACCAGAGACGCCGACAAGAGCAAGGCCCTGCTGGCCGAGGTGTTCAAGCTGCTGAGCAACAGTGCATACGGCGAGCTCATCAAAGTGCTAGAGCAGCAGATACGGGTGATGTACACAAGGATGAGAAGGTGGTGGACAGGGCCCTGCAAAGCACGCTTTTCAGCGATCTGGATGAGATCAAGGGAACCTATGAGCTGGAAAGCAGGAAGGCTCATGTCAATATCACTCGCGTGTTCCAGATCAATATCGCGGTGTATCAGCTTGCCAAGCTGAGGATGCTCGAATTCTATTATGGCTTCTTGGATCAGTACCTCAACCACCACAACTTTGAGCTCATTCAGATGGACACCAACAGCAATTACATCGTTATCTCTGCCAATTGGCTTGAGGACATCATTTGGCCAGATCAGAGGGAGGAATTCGAGGCAAAAAAGGAAAGAGTGGCTTGCATGGGACAAGTGGAGCGGGCACACGCCAGGACTTTTCAAACTCGAATGCGAAGGCAGCTGGATGATCGCGCTCGAAGTGCTATTTTGTAGACGAACAAGACAGCGAAAAAAAGAAGTTCGGCACGAAGGGCATGTCAAAGATGCAGAATCTCAAGACCTGGCAGAGTTTCAAGGCGGCCCTC